CCTACATAATAGTCCCTGTTTGATTAAATTGTAAACTGGCCAGTTTGATAATTACGAACATCTTTGGGGAGTCTGGTGATCCAAAACAAATAAATAAAATCATCAAGGCTAGGTTTTCCCGAGACTTTGCAGTTTTAAAAAATGAACAAACCGCCAATTTGAACATTCAATCTTGCAATCAACTCTCTCACTCTCTCTTTCAAAATATCGTTAAATTATGCACAAAAAGGTTATTACATTGTTTATATTTGTTACTTGTATCACAGCTCAATTCGACTCATTATACAGTATTTTTACAAATCACCATCTTTTCATTATCCTGTGTTTCAGCTGTTAGTATCATTAGTATAAAACTGGTAAAGTAAAAAGGTAAATGGCTTAACTGGAAGAGGTATACAAAGTATTCACAATGAGTGTTGATGATCACATTTTGTAAATATATTTTGACAGTGCAATTTTTATAAGCTCAGTTCATAATATTTAATATTAAATTGGTGAATTCATGATCAATCGGCTTAACCGAATCCAGTATATATAAACATCTTGAAGTCATACTTTTGATAAATATTTCCTGAACAAACAGTTTCACAAATATATTCAATCAATATTTTAATATGTTATTATTTGCAGTATTACAGTTTTACAAAGAAAACAATTCACATCACAATCTTTCATCTGAACTGACATTTCAATTCATAGAGTGTTCAAATAAACACATCTATTAGCTTTAAGAAGTGTTAGAATTAAGCTGAAGAAGGTGTGAAGGAGGACAACATATCAGACCTCTCACGGTCCATAAATCGGACTTCTGGGATATTTAATTACAGGGCCCACACTTAACATCTTTATTTCCACTGCGCAGCTCTGTGATTGTAACGTCCTCAGTAGTTCATTTAAAATTAAATTAAATTCATTAAAACCCCACCAGGGGGCAACTTTTTGTTATACTCACACCTGTATGAAATACCCAAATTGTATTACATAAAGGTGTGAGGTGATTTTGCTTGATGGAATGATTAATTAAGTAAAGAGTATATTTTGAATATAAGTGAAGAATCTCTTTTTTTTTCTTTACAATAGTCAAACGATCTTGCTTGCAACCTCAACATTAACTGTCGACATTGACGGGTTTCACCTAGTAAATCCTAAAAATATCAATCTTTCATAATTATTTGCAAATCTACACGAATTAGGCTTTCCAATGACCTATTAATTAATACAATCGGTTCATTAGAACTGCGTAGATTTAATTGTACAAAGTTTAACTACAACATCTTTAATTCAGTATTTTCTCACCACTATAAATTGGGAGGTTGCTTAACGCTTTTGCAAATAACTTTGAAATGATGAGGAAATCGACTAAAGTGGAAGGTGATATTCTGATAGAAAATAACATTTCCTACAAATTATTATTATACCTATTATTTTTATTTTTTTATTTTGCTTTTGCTATTATTTTTTGTCTAGAAAATACTCAATAAAGGCAGCCTAAAGTTGGCTACAAATATAAACTTGGTAATAAATAGAAAAAATGCGTTTGAAATGTATTATTGTTGATTTTGATTTTTTCACCTCAAATATGTAATTAAATTAAATTTTCATAATTATTTGCAAACCTAGACAAATTAAGCTTTCCAACGACCCATTAAGTAACAAAATCGGTCGGGTAGAAGTCTAGATTTAGTTGTATAAAGTTTAACAAAAATATATCTAATTTAGTATTTTCTCACCACAAACAAATTTGGAGATCACTTAGCTTATTGCAAATAACTTTTAATTAAGGGGAAATCGGCCAAAGTGGATGTGATATTCTGAAAGAGAATAAAATTTACTACAAATAACTGCTATGCATTTCTTGAAAATACTTAATAAAGACAGCCAAAAGCTGGCTACAAATAGAAACTTGAAAAAGCAGTTTTTAATGTATTTTGTAATTTTTGCTTTTTCACCACAAATATTTAATAAAATCCCGTTTTCATAATGATTTGCAAATCTACACGATTTAAGCTTTCCAACAACATATCAAAGCCTGGTTCTTTGCCTAATTAATAAAATCGGTCCAGTAGAACTCTAGATTTAGTTGTACAAAATCATTGTTATTTATTGGTCACATTGTTTGTGTTAAGTTGGAAACTGTTTGTTGCCTTTTTTTCAAATGGCTCTGCCGTTGGAATGTATAATAAATAAATAAATAAATAAACAAAGATTTTTTAAAACTGAATTATAATATAGAATAGATGGTCACGGCCACTATATCTCAATGGTCACGGCCAATCTTGAGTAAAACCATTGACTATATACCTTTATTACCTTTATTACCTTTATTACCTCCTCTTCGTCTCTGACCAGCCAGGGCCGGATAGACAGCGTCAAACTTTTATAAAATAAAAACTTTCTTTAATAAAACATATATTTAAAACTTAAGCTTTAGATGGCGGTGGATGGTCAAGAGTTGGTGCTTCCTCAAAATACTCGTCAACTGAGTAGAACGGGTTTTGCAGGAGGAGCTCCTTGATTCTTTCCTTGAATATTTTCGGCTCTAGCTCTCTCAGGTGGAGTGGCAGGGCATTAAACATATGTACAGCAACTGCAGGGAAGCTATCTCTTGTCAGGGACAGTCTATACCGCTGGGTATTGAGCTTCTGTGCTCCTCTAATGTTGTAAGAGTGGAGCTGGCCTCGGAGTTCAAAATTGCTCAGGTTGGTTTTAATGTGTACAACACAGGCAAGGATGTACTGGTTATAGACTGTGAAGACGTTTAACAGTTTAAAAAGGGGTCTGCATGGCTTCCGCCTCCTACTATTTGTGATTACTCGTAATGCCTGTTTCTGCAAGCGGAGCACACGACTGCTGTCGGCAGCATGTCCCCACAGTTGGATGCCATAGGCCACGTGGCTATGAAAAAGCGAAAAATAGACTGTCAACAGGTACTGCGCAGTTATCAGGTGTTTCAGTTTTCTCAAGAGGAAGATCACTCTACTCAGTCTTACGCAAACAGAATTTATATGAGGGCCCCACTGTAACTTGGAGTCCAGGACGAAGCCAAGAAGTTTGACAGGAGGGTCAGGAGATGGAGATGATCTGCTTAGGGTGAGCAGAAGCCTTTGTGTTTTATCTTCGTTGAGCTTCAAGTTATTTATGAGGAACCAGTCTTTAGCCTCTTGGAATAGAAGTTCTGAACAAGCGACCGCCTCAGTAGGATCTTGCCCCCTGCCCAGCAGGGTTGTATCGTCCGCAAAGAGTAGAGTATCTCTATCCCAACCTAGGTCGTTCATCAGTATCAGGAAGAGAGTGGGGCCAACTATTGAGCCCTGCGGAACTCCGAACTTCACATCGGCTGGGGAGGACAGTGCGCCCTGCACTGCTACCATCTGACTTCTACCTTCTAAGTAGGATTTAAAGGTCTGGAGGGCAACTCCGCCAACTCCATAATAGCCGAGCTTCTCAAGCAATATGTCGTGGGAGACAATGTCGAAGGCTTTTGACAGGTCGCAAAGGACCAGAGCCATTGACTGTCTATTTTCAAAGGAGTCCAAAACCTCACTAATCAAGGAGACGAGGGCTGTTGTTGTAGATCGCTCGACTTCCGAAACCCGTGTTGGGATGCTGTAAAGTAGTGATTTACTTCAAAATGGTCGACAATCTGTCTCTGTACAATCTTCTCCACAATCTTCCCTACAGTCGGGATTATTGAGATTGGCCGATAACTTGAGGTAAGGTTTGCGTCCCCCTTTTTGAAAACAGGTATAGTCCTTGAGATTTTAAGGCAGTCTGGAAAAAGTCCCACCCGCAGACACCTGTTTATCACTTCAGACAGAGGCAGTGATATTTCATTTATAACAGACTTGAGAATCCAAGGTGAGATTCCGTAGATATCTGGACTTCTTGAGTTGGAGAAAGATTTAACTATTTTAATTACTTCCTCTTGCGTAGTAGGATTCCATTCCTCCAAAGGGGTCAGGGGCTGCACCTGGACTCTGATTTCTCCGCTTCGGTTTCCAGCGGCTTTTCTGCTCAGTTCTTCAGTTATGTCTTTAACTGAGTTGACAAAGAACTGGTTGTAGTCATCTGGACTAGAAAGTTTGTTGACTACTTCATTTTTCTTCCTCGAGTCATTTATCACTGACCATGCTGCCTTACATTGGTTTAGTGAACTCTGGATGTGTACTACAGTTGCCCTTTTTTTGGCCTCATTTACCTGACATTTATAATTACGCTTCGTTTTCAGATACAGAGAGTAAAGTTTGTCCCTTGCATTAGGAGATTGCTCGGCCTTATATCTATCAAAGATCAGTTTTGTAAAAGCTCTGACCCTGCCCAGCTCAGGTGTATACCAGTCCTTGGCAATGCATGCGTTACCCCTACTTCTTTGCTTTGGCTGCGATTTAGGCTTGGCTTTATTTAAGAGCGGAAAAAAGAAATTGAACACTTCCAGCAGTTTACTGTGAAAAGCTTGAAAAGAGGACGCTGGGTCTGGGTCGTCCAGGACCAGAGCCCAGTCTATTTTACTTAAGGCTTCCTTAAACTGAGGCAGCAGTTGGTCACTCACATTTCTCTTATAAAATGGAACATTCAATTTTTTTAGTAGGTTTCCTTCCCTCCTCCAGAGCTGACTTATACGATTTCTTGACTTCCTTAACTTCAGATTGGCAATTTTGAGCTGCTTTAGGCCTAGGTTTTCCAGTCTCAGTAGTAGGCCTATCGGTTTCTGGTAAGTCGTGTCTTCTTTCAACGCCGTTTCTGGCGCCTCGTCCACGTCTATTGCGCTTTACTTCATTCATAATATATACCTACAGAAGACCATCGATCTCTATCATCGATCTCTATTGTAATAATAGAGATCAATGCAGAAGACATATATATAATATATGGTATATATAATCAATGGTAAAACAAAAAACAATACGTCAGGCACTGGCTTGTCTGCCCGTCTCCGTCTGTCTGCCTGGTCTGCTGTGTCTGCCTGTCTCCTCCTCTCGGCTCGGCTCGGGCTCGGTGTCTATCTGTCTGTTTCCCTGAATAGTGCATCCTGAATGTGTAAAAAGTTGTGTATTACTATTATGTGGTAGAATATATTCTGTGTTTAAGGTCGTGTATCTAAGTGTGTCTAAGTTAGGCATTTAACCTTGAAATAGTTCAATCCAAAAAGTTAGTAGAAGTTTAAATACAAAATACGTACTGTGAGTGACTATTAAGGGATGTTATCATTGTAGTCATTTGACGTTTCTATACTGTTATAACTTGACTCTGAATGGTAAGTAAACTTTATATTATTGTTGTTGTTATTTTATAAATTTATTTTAAGTTAGCCTACCAGTTAAGCATGCAGTTTAGGCCTAGGCCTACGATGATTCATGCCAAGCTAGGCCTAGGCCTATTTTACAACTTGTGAGTAAGTTAAATAAGAGGGGGAGGGGCTGCGGCTCTTGCGTTACCTATATACAATACACACAAACCTGTGTATGTCTGTAGGTAACGCATTAGGCTACAGTAATGTCCTTATATTTCTCAGTGTTTCGTGGAAAGACAAGAGCACCTTTCCTAATGAAAATTTCAACCGGAATAAAAAATGTAGGCCTATGGTGAGGTTGAGGTAGGTAGTATTATAACTACTTCTAACCCGTGGGGAAAGAAGCTTTCAATTATGGGCCAACCTTAGGGCTATGTCTTATACTTATAGCTATAAAACTGTTTTTTGCAAAACATTTGTTTTGGCTTGAAACGGTCAGATATGGTATTTGCGAAGGTTTATATGTTTTCATAATAGTTTTGCCAGCATATCTGGAAAATGCACACTTAATATGCATATAAAAAAAACTGCTGTTCTGAATTAGGTTTCAACTGACTAAGTTAATTACAAGATCCCCGTCCTTAGAACGGGCACACAGCTAGTATCCTATTGAATGAAATACCGGTTTCAATAGATAGGCTATATCGAAAATTGCATTCGAATGAGTGTAGGACGTAAACTAAAGTGCCGCCCCAGAAATTATTGAGACTAAGTAGAGAGACCAAGGGTACCATAGTAATTTACATATAATTAGAAACTAGATTTTTACCTGAAAACAGTGGCACACGGATTTTTCTGCTGTCACAAAAACTGAATAAACTACAATCGTTTGAATTTTATTATTGTAATGCCTCTTAAATCTACTGCTCTGTCCCCATTGCACAACTTTTATTTCAGCTGCAGTTTTTTAATACAAACAAAATGAGAGTTAAAAAATTAGAAATACTTAAAAAAAAATATTATAAAACTAAAAAAATAAATTAGGCTAATTTTTTAAAAATCAAAATTTTATAACCTAACCTAACTAACCAAACTTGCTGATAAGAAAAAAATTGAATGAAGGTTTACTTATCAAAAAAAATAGTTCTGTTCATAAAATGAAACTATAAATGCCTCAAATTCAATTTAAAATTTTTTTAATTATAAAATTAAACTGTCATAACCTAACCAAACTTGCTGATAATGCAAAAATCATAGATAAAATTTAGTACCACCGATAGGTTTTGAACCTGGTACGGTACCTTTAGCTTCTCAGCCCATCACTTTATCCATTAGACCACCGAGGCCGATGGCTACAGGCCGTATCGTTGCGGTAATGGTGTTCCTTCAGCCAATAGAATGCTCTCATTTTGAACGTATTAAAAATACTGTGCAGCTGAAATAAAAATTCAGCGTCCCCATTACTGTGAATTGACTAACACAAACATGAACGAATGAAAGGTTTGTCTAGGGAAGAAGAAGAAACCTAAGATGACAAACCTTAAGTTTATACAAAGAGGTAAAGGCATTCAACTGAACGTTGATTATGAACTAAGTTTTTATTTCAGCTCTTATTTAGACATGTGAGGTAGGTAGGTTGGGTGTTATGCAGATGTTGTGTCTGTATTAAGTGTTTTGAAGTTAGGTTAGATTAGGAAGGTTAGTTTATGTTATAATGAATCAAGTTGTTGATTTATGTTATCTCCAGACCAAAAATAAAATGACACTGAAAAACTAGGAAGAACCTAGCCTACTACAAAGAAAAAAATAAATCGTACAGGTCCAAAATCAAGGAAGCCAAAATCATGCACAATGAAAGCAGAATATAAATGTCTAAGAATAAGTGTTCAGCTGCATGGCTTGAGTAATTAAATCAGAAGCTGGTAACTACTATCAGCGGGAAAATCCAATTCCACCTATTTAAGCTAATGAATTTAATGATTACTTTATAAGTATTGGGAAAAAGGTGCTTACTAAATTAACTAATAAAGGTAATTTGAGTTATTGCACCTTTAAAAAACAATGTACACCAGCCTCCGGATAAATTTAAGTTGCATTATGCTAGTGAGCTTGATGTGCTTAAAATAATGATATCTCTGAAACCTTTTAAGAGTGAAGATATATTTTTGGTTTAAGTAACAGAGTTATCAAACATATTGCAGCTAATATTGTATCACCTTTGACATATTTGATCAATCTTTCTTTTTATTGCTCCTTTTTTCCTAATTGTTTAAAAATGTCCAAGAGTATACCGCTTTTCAAAAAGGGTGACAGGTCATGTATTGATAACTATAGAACAATATGTGTCGTATCTGTATTTTGAGAAATAATAGAATCATGTGCTAAGAACCAACTCTTAGAATTTTTGGATCAATATAATGTTTTAAGTAGTAGCCAATTTGGTTTTCGACCTGGACGTTCCACAACTAAGGCATTAAATGAAGTTGTAACTGGTATTCTTAATAGCTTTGAAAATTTTAATTATATGTTATGACCCTTGTAGATCTCAGCAAGGCCTTTGATAGTATATCACATAAAACCCTTCTAAACAAACTAACATTTTATGTAGATGCTAAGCAGATGCAATTCTTTAAAACTTATCTCTGTGGTAGATTGCACAAGGTTTCATCGGCAGGCATTGAGTCCTCTTTTTAGGAGGTCCTTGCAGGGGTTCCACAGGGGTCAGTTCTGGGTCCACTTTTATTTCTTATCTATATCAAACGATCTGCCTAGAAATATTCCTTGTAAAACCATTCTATATGCGGATGACACTTCTTTTGTAGTTACCGATAAAGTGTTAAAAAATGTAAAAGCACACAGTGACAGAGTAATGGAATTAGCCAGTTATTGGTTTAATACTAAACCACCTTAGAGTCAATGCCAACAAGACTGAAATAATCTGTTTTACTTTGAAAAAATTAGACTCAGAGGAAGATTGTAAGCCTGTTAAGTTACTAGGGGTCACTTTAGATCAGAAGCTTACATGGGAATCTCACACCAACTCAGTAGTTTCAAAACTTTCAAGGGCCTGTTTTTTGCTACATAAGCTACTACAATGTGTTGGTAGAAATATGTTATTAAATACTTATTTTAGTGATTTTCATTCCCATTTGCTGTATGAACGCTCTGGGGAAATAGTAGGGCCTAGAGGTGCTATCCATGTTTTTGCTTGGCAAAGAAAAGCAGTAAGGATTTTGGCCAATTTAGCCTACCTTATCTAGATGACACAAAACAATGTTTTATTAATAAGCAATGTTTTATTGATTACAATATAATGACTGTCCCTTGCATTTTCATATTTCAAAATCTTGTATATGTAAAGGAAAACCAGAGTGATTATGTATGTTTTGACAAAGTTCATAATTATAATACTAGGAAGAGCACAAGATATTGTCCCACCCTTTTTTAGATTGCGGAAAACAATAATCAGCCACAAATACCTACAAATCAAGTGCTTCAATAAATTGCCACCAAAGAGCAGAAACCTTGAAATCCAACCATTTAAATCAAAACTTTCAAGCTGGTTTATAAATAAAGCGTTTTATTCTCTTGATGAGTTTTTAGCATACCTATAGATTTTAACTTAGGCTAATATTATTGAGCTTTGATCCAGTGATGCTTTGGTGAATAGTTGTACCTAATTTATTTATTGTTAATTTTCATAGTTTATATTGATTTGTTGCTAATTGTTAATTGTGGACGTTAATCCACACCAGGGAGTATCGCATCCACAGTGCATGCCTATAAATATCCACAATTTGTGACCTAGTAGCTGGATTACAGGAAGAATAAGAGACTCCAGAAAAACATGCTTGACAATTATAACTTAACTTACCGGTAGTTAGACGCTATTCCACATCTCCATCATGTGAATAGAACTGGTGAATGAAAGTTTGGCTACAATGTCAAGCTTTGCAAAAACTACTTGAGACAAACAAGATGCATGTCCACGTTCTGACACCTTGGATATAATCTTGTCTACGGACCATAGTGTTCGTTTGGAGGCACCTCCAGTCCTTGATGTCAAGCATGCTGCAGAAGTTGCACTTGCGCTTGTGATTCTGGTTGGGGGTAGTGGTAGCCTTTGGATGTTGTAAGACTTGAGGAAATCTTATAGTTTTGTGTTTTCAATATTTTCAATTAGATAAACAATTTGTCCCCCATAAACAGCACTAGCTGCAAGTGTGATTGATTAGATATGTTAAGTTGTTCTCTCATTATGTCAAGGGCATCTACTAGTTTTGCACTTGTTTGGTCTGTATACTCCTAGTACCTATAGGTTTTGCTTTTTTAGTTTGATTTTGTAAAGTGTCTCGCATATGAGTTCTGCTTCATTTGTGCTTGTGCTTACGGTACGAGTTTTGTTTTAATTTCAAGGTCTTTTACATAATCTGCAACTCCTCCTTTGAAGTATTGTTTTCTCGCAAAACCTCCTACAAAAGAGTGCCCTTCTCGATAGGTGTTTTCAAGGTTTTCTTGTGGCATGCCGTGTTCTGTAATTAGTATGAAGTCTGGCAAGCATTATTATCACCTTGTCACCCAGACTAACGCTGTTCCTGTTGTAGACGTTAGAGAATATTATTATCCCAAATCATATTATTTGGTCTTTCAATCGACAACTTTGATTTTTATAGTGATCACTGATTTATCTATAGTTAGGTTACCTTGATTTCAATTTGGAGTAAAAGGAAATAACATAGGCCTAATGCTGTTAACTGTCTTGTAATAATCTTAAAATGTATTAACTCTAAGGTTGTTACATTTTGTCTAATTTTGAACTATATGTTCTTATTGTTCACCCACTGATTTGTCTTTTACCAAAGTTTATGAGGAGAATTAGCCGAGGGGAGGCAACAGCTCGCTTGGCCTGGTGAGCTTATATTGATCTGTACAACCAAGGGTGGGGCCACCTCCACCATTCCCACCCCATTATATACTTGTTATTCCACCATAAGTACTCTGAGATTAGGTCCTTGTTGCTTGGT